AAAAAAAGGAAGACTTGCTGTCCGATGCCAGTGCCAGAAACCGAAGTTCATTTTCCGGCGCGCGCATGCTTCCCGACCCCCCTCCTCTTCCTTGTTGTGGCCCAGACATACGCACACGTAAAAGTGTTCCCTTTTGGGGCACTTGGTGCCAAACAGGTTTGCCATCCCTGCTGTATTCCATCCCATCCCGCGTGGACTTCCAGAGCCCCTCAGCCCCCCCCGTGTGGACTTCCCACTCCCAGAGCTCCTCATTCCGGGGGTCCCTTGTTCCCAGGAGCTGAGCGAGAACCAGAGCACCCCCAAGAAGGAGAAGCAGGAGTGGCTGTCGAAGCAGAAGGAGAACATCCAGCACTTCCAGGCGGAGGAAGAGGCCAACCTGCTGCGGCGCCAGAGGCAATACCTGGAGCTGGAGTGCCGGCGGTTCAAGAGGAGGATGCTGCTGGCGCGCCATAATCTGGAGCAGGACCTTGTGCGGGAGGTGAGTGCGTGCCCCTCCACCCCCCACCCCCCCGGGAGGAGACGAGGCCCCCCTGGGAAGCCCTTGGTCCATAAGGAGCGGTTCTCGGCTCTCTCGACTGTCCTGGATGGGCCAGGGCTGCCTCGGGTTTCAGGATACGTCCTTGACCTAACGGCTGGTCGCTTAGCACCCATTCAGAGTTATGACAAACCTCCCCTCAATCTACTTCATGCCTGTTTGAAGCTAGGATGGAGCAGGCGTCTCAGTTCCTCCCTCCCTCCATTCTTTCTTTCTTTCCTTCCTTCTCTTTCTTGCCTCCTTCCTTCCTTCCCTCATTTTTAACTTGCTCATCTTCCTTCTTCTCTCCACTTATTTTTAACTTGTTCATCTTCCTTCTTTCCTTCCTTCCCTCCTCTCATTTTTAATTTGCTCATCTTCCTTCCTTCTTTCCTTTCTTCCTTCCTTCCCTCCCCTCATTTTAACTTGTTCATCTTCCTTCTTTCCTTCCTTCCTTCCCTCCCCTCATTTTAATTTGCTCATCTTCCTTCTTCTCTCCACTTATTTTTAACTTGTTCATCTTCCTTCTTTCCTTCCTTCCCTCCTCTTCTTTTTAACTTGTTCATCTTCCTTCTTTCCTTCCTTCCTTCCCTCCCCTCATTTTAATTTGCTCATCTTCCTTCTTTCCTTCCTTCCCTCCTCTCATTTTTAACTTGCTCATCTTCTTCTTTCCTTCCCTCCCCTCATTTTAATTTGCTCATCTTCCTTCTTTCCTTCCTTCCTTCCCTCATTTTTCTCATCTTCTTCTTTCCTTCCCTCCCCTCATTTTACCTTGCTCATCTTCCTTCCTTCCTTTCTTCCCTCCTTCCTGCCTTCCTTCCCTCTTTCCTGTCTTCCTTCCTTCCCTCCCTCATTTTACCTTGGTCATCTTCTTTCCTTCCTTCCTTCCTTCCTTCCTTCCTTCCTTCCTTCCTTCCTTCCTTCCTTCATTCATTCATTCATTCATTCATTCATTCATTCATTCATTCATTCCTATATCACCCATCTGTCCTAAGGCAGTGGTCCCCAATCTTTCTATCTTGGCAGACCAGCAGCGGGAGGGAAGAGGGAGACGGGATGGTTTTGTGCCTGCGGAAAAGACCCCTGTGCCCACCTATTCCCCCACCACCTCGTGGCCCAGTTCCAAACGGGCTGCTTGGCCCTACACCAGGCCACAGACTGAGGGTTGGGGTTTGACAGAGTCGGCCTCTTGCCCCCAAACCATCTGGGTCCTTGTTTTACCCACCTCGGAAGGAGGGAAGGCCGAGTCAACCCAGAGCCTTGTGAGATTCGAACTGCCAAATTGCAGGAAGGCGGCAGTCGGCAGAAGGAGGCTGCAGTGCTCTCTAGCCGGCAAAGGGCCCTCTCTGTGGCCTACCCGTAGCGGAGGTAGGTGGGCAAATTCTGGCCTTCGTTGGCCTTCGGGTGGTGACTGTGTTGACCCACTGTAGCCCAGTTCGTGGCTCAGCCAGCCAGCCGGCCAGATTCCTAGGCTCCGCTCTCAGCCTCCTCTCTCCTTGCGCCCGCTTTCCCAGTGCCAGGCAGCCCTTCCTCAGTGCCCCCGTTTCTCCCACCCAGGAGCTGAACAAGAGGCAGACCCAGAAGGACCTGGAACACGCCATGCTGCTGCGCCAGCACGAGTCCATGCAGGAGCTGGAATTCCGGCACCTCAGCACCATCCAGAAGATGCGCTGCGAACTCATCCGGCTGCAGCACCAGACCGAGCTGACCAACCAGCTGGAGTACAACAAGCGCCGCGAGAGGGAACTGAGGCGGAAGCATGTCATGGAAGTTCGGCAGCAGCCCAAAAGTCTGAAGGTACCTTTCCCCCCGGGTGGGCGGGTGGGGGGGGGCGTCGCGGGCCTCGCAGGAGCAAAGGGAGTTTTAACAGATTAACAGGACCTTGNGGAAGGAAGGAAGGAAGGGGGAGGATGGAAGAGAGGAAGAAAGAAAGAAGAGAGAGAGCCAAGAGGAAGCAAGGGGGGGGAAAACAAGAGGAAGGGAGGAATGAAGGGCATTGTCCATGCCAACGGATGGAAACTAATGAAGGAGAGAAGCAACTTAGAACTAAGGAAACACTTCCTAACGGTGAGAGCAATCAACCATTGGATTGGCTTCCTTCCAGGAGTAGCGGGTACTCCCATCCCCGGATGCTTTCAGAAAGAGACTGGAAAACCATTTGTCTGAAATGGCATGGAATCTCCTGCTGGAGCAAGGGAAGGGGTTGGACTAGAAGACCTCCGAGGTCCTGTCCATCCCTGGGATCCTATGAGAACTGGGTACAAGGAAGGCAGCTGGGGGTAGAGGTGAGGTCGGGGTGCCGGTCTGCCTCTAAACCAGGTTAGGCCCGGGACTCCCCAAGGTGTGGGTCCAAAAGGGCTCAGCCTCTTGCTCTCCTCTTGCGCAGGCGAAAGTGATGGCCAACGAGGAGAAGAAGTTTCAGCAACACATCCAGACGCAGCAGAAGAAAGAGCTCAACAGCTTTTTGGAATCCCAGAAGAGAGAGTACAAGCTCCGCAAAGAGCAGCTCAAAGAGGTAACCGGGGGCGGGGGGGCGGCGGCAGGGTTGACTCATTCATGTATTGCCAGGCCCCCCAAACCACGTCCCTCTTCCAACCCGGGAACTTTATTGCTTCACACCTACAGACAGAATCTTGCCAGAGTGAAGTCTGCTGTCTTTGCCTTTTGCAAAACACTCTGGGAACTATCAGGGAGGCGCCCTCTTCGCCCTCTTTCTCTCACACCTGATATCCAGGCTGAGTTGCCTCTTCCTCCTCCTCCTTTGCAAAGGCAGATAGTAGACTTCACTCCGGCAAGATTTGGTCTGTAGGCGTGGAGCAATAAAGATGCAGCCCTTCCCTCCCTCCCTCCCTCCCTCCCTGGGAATCCAGCTCCTCTCTCTATTCCCCTGATGGCAAACCCTATGGCAGGCGTGCCTGAAATGGCGCATGGAGCCATGTTGCCTCGCACATGCGGAGTGACCTGTTCCTCTTCCGGGTTTCTAGCATGCATGCGCACGCGATGATCGGCTGTCCTTTTGTGCTGCAGCAGTGCTGGTCTTCTGTTTTCCGGCGCGAGCATCGTGCCGGCCAGCTGATCGGCGCATGTGCAGGCACGGCAGTAACCAGAAGACTTGCTGGCCCAGTGTATGGGTTCTGGGAAGTCAGGGGAGGGAAGGTTGGGGGCGGTGGTG